CTTCCTCCAGCTTTCGAAACAGAACAGAGTGCCTGAAGACACGAGCATCATGTACCCTTCCCGGCCAGCCCACGTTGATGTCGGTGAAACGTCCCTTGAGATCCACCAGGGCTTGCAGCAGCACTGAAAAGTACCCCTTGCGGTTTATGTACTCGGTGGCTTGGTGCTCCGGTGCCAAGATAGGGATATGGGTTCCGTCTATCGCCCCACCACAGTTTGGGAATCCCATTGCAGCAAAGCCATCCACTATGGCCTGCACGTTTCCCAGAGTCACTACCCTTGATATCACCAGGTCTCTCATTGCCCTGGCAACTTGGATCACAGCAGCCCCCACAGTAGATTTGCCCACTCCAAATTGATTCCCGACTGACCGGTAGCTGTCTGGCATTGCAAGCTTCCACAGGGCTATCGCCACTCGCTTCTCAACTGTGAGGGCTGCTCTCATCCTGGTATTCTGGCGCTTCAGGGCAGGGGAAAGCAAGTCAGAAAGTTCCATGAAAGTGCCCTTATGCATGCGAAAGTTTCGCAGCCACTGGGAATCGTCCCACACCTGCAGCACGATGCGGTCCCACCAGTCTGTGCTTGTTTCCCGGGCCCAGAATCGGCGTTCCACGGCATCAACCTGCCCCAGGAACACCATGATTTCCACATTGCTGGGGCCTGTGCCTTGTGAGAGGTCTATGTCCATGTCAATTTCCTCATCACTCTCGTGGCCGCGCTGCAATCACCTCCTCGGCTGGTCCCGGTTTTGCTTTGGCATGTCCTGGCTCTGCATATACTCCAGGACAATGCGCGTGGTGTTCATAGTGCTCATAATTGCCGCGGTGATCTGAGCGGGCTCCATGATCCCAGTGCTAGCTATGGCGTCTGGTCTGAAAAAAGGCGCGAAACTAGTATCTGACGGACCAGGGGAAGGAGAGAGGGAGGGAGGGAGGGAGGGGCGAGTGACGACATGGCGTACAGGTACAGGGAATTAAAATCAAGAAAGGTGGCTGTGCATCAGGGAGAAACACAAACAACTGTCACACAGAATGGCCCCCCCCAAAGATTGAACTCAAAAGCCTGGGTTTAGCAGGCCGTTGATTTGACGGAGGGAGGGGGGAAGGAAATGAATACAGAACAAATCTATTTTTTACATCTTAAGACGATGGTGCAGCATGACTGATAGCCCTCGGCATTTTCTGGGTGCTTGGCAGCAAATACTGGGCGCTTGGCAGTTAGCCTTCAGGCCTATTGCACGATCTGCTGCTCAGGGAAGACTCTGCTAACGTGCGATGAGCCAACAGGGCGCTTGGCAGAAAATGGCATACTACGACTGATAACCATCATCATCAAGACAGTTCCATAGGACTGAGCATGTCTGCCCAGGTGCCCATGATTGATAGCCACTGCTGTACGACGACGACGGATACCAGTCGTAATAAACCATCTACTGCCAAAAGGCAAAAGGCAAGGGGCTGGTGCAATGCAGCCCCACGGCTGCCGGCACCCAGATCGCCAATGAAGGCTACCAATCATGCTGCACCGTCTACCGCCAAAAGGTAGTTAGCTGCTGCTGCTGTGTAGCAATGCAGTCCCATGTCTGCCGGCACCCAGATGACATATGGTGACGGTGAGCTGAGCTGAGCAGGCTCCATGCTTGCCGTGGTATGTTGTCTGCACAGGTAACCCAGGTAAAAAGGCGCGAATCTATTGTCTGCCGTTGCTCTGACGGAGGGGGAGGGGCCTGACGACATGTACCCAGAACCCCCCGCGACACTGTTTTGCATCATTCGGGCATTGGGATCTCAACCCAGAATTCCAATGGGCGGCGGAGACTGCGGGAACTGTGGGATAGCTACCCATAGTGCAATGCTCCGGAAGTCGACGCTAGCCTCGGTACTGTGGACGCGGTCCGGCGACTAGAGCACTTAGAGCATTTTATGTGGGGACACACACAATCGGCTGTATACAACCGATTTCTATAAAACCGGCTCCTATTAATTCGATCTAATTTCGTAGTGTAGACATACCCTAAGGCCTGATCTACACTAACCCCCCAATTCGAACTAAGGTACGCAACTTCAGCTACGTGAATAACGTAGCTGAAGTCGACGTACCTTAGTTCGAACTTACCGCGGTCCAGACGCGGCAGGCAGGCTCCCCCGTCGACTCCGCGTACTCCTCGCGCCGAGCAGGATTACCGGAGTCGACGGCGAGCACTTCTGGGTTCGATTTATCGCATCCAGACAAGACGCGATAAATCGAACCCAGAAGTTCAATTGCCTGCCGCCGAACCAGCGCATAAGTATAGACAAGCCCTTAGAGAACTCTCCTTATAGTGTGTATGGTAACACCCATTGTTTCATGTTCTGTGTGTGTATCTTCCTACTGTATTTTCCACTACATGCATCCGATGAAGTGGGCTGTAGCCCACGAAAGCTTATGCTCAAATAAATTTGTTAGTCTCTAAGGTGCCACAAGTACTCCTGTTCTTTTTGCATACTCTGAGAGTAATCATCAGTGGCTCACAGTCAAGCTGGAGGGGTATGTCAAGTGGGGTCCCGCAAGGATCTGGTTCTATTAAGTATCTTCATAAATTATTTGAATAATGGTATAGAGAGTACACTTATGAAGTTTGCGATTCCAACCTTGGAGGATTTGCAAGTACTTAGAAGGACAGAATTAGAATTCAAAATGATCTTGACAAACTAGAGAATTGGTCTGAAATAAACAGAATGAAATTCAATAAGGACAAATGCAAAATATTGCCCTTAAGATGGAATAATCAATTGCACAAATACAAAATGGGAAATGACTGCCTAAGAAGGCATACTGTAGAAAAGGACCTGGAGGGTTATAGTGGATCATAAACTAAATATGAGTCAACATTGTAATACAGTTGCAAAAAAACCAAACATCATTTTAGGATATATTAACAGGAGTGCTGAAGGCAAGACAGAAGAAGTCGTTTTTCCACTCTTCTCAGCACTGATAGTCTCAACTGGAGTATTGTGTCCAGTCCTGGGCACCACAGTTTAGGAAAGATGTGGACAACTTGGAGAAAACCCAGAGGAAAGCAACAAAAATGATTAAAGGTCTAAAAACCATGACAAGGAAAGACTGAAAAAATTGGGTTTGGTTAGCCTGGAGAAGAACAGGGGTAGGGGGGAGTAAAAGGTTGTTATAAAGAGCAGGATGATAAATTGTTCTCCTTATCAACTGAGGACAAGGCAAGAAGTCATAGGCTTAAATTGCCACAAGGGAGATTTAGATTAGACATTAAGAATAACTTCCAAACTGTATGAGTAGATAAGCATGGAACATATTACCTAGGGAGGTTGTAGAATCTCCATCATGAGAGGTTTTTATATAAAGGTTAGACATACACAAGCCAGGTATGTTCTAGATAATACTTAGTCCTGCCTCTGTGCAGAGGACTGGACTAGATAACCTACTGAAGTCCCTTCTAGTCCTACACTTCTCTGTTTCTGTTCTGATTGCCCCAGACTGGGTCACACAATGTTGGTTCTTGGATCTACTGCAGCTCTCACAAGTGTCTCCCCACAATTCCAGACCTGTTGACCTAGAAGAGAAATCAGATTTTACCATCCAGACTTAGACTCTTGCCACTTGACAGCATGGGTTATAGGACTTTGACAGATCTGGCACCACCCTGTTTGGAGAAGGTATAGAAGAGTCTATTAAACTTCAGGAAGCATTGGACTCGCCTGGGTTATGATCATAAGTAGAAAAGGTTTTCTTTGTGAGCATCCAGCAATAAAATAAACACAGGTTCAGCTGCTGTTCTATCCGTAATGGAGTACTTCATTTTAAATCCTTGGGACTATCCATATCATCAGTAAAAGTACATCTCTCAGCCATCTCATCTCATCACAGCTTAGTGAGGCAAAACTCTGTATTTTGTAATAAAAAGGTTTTTGGAGGGTTTTAAAGTACATCTACCTCTAGTTAGAGAACCCACACCAACACAGGACCTCAGTTTAGTACTTAGTTCATGAAACCTCCCTTTATTGTAGTTATCACTTCCGCTGCAGGCTCTCAAGACTGACCCTCCCTCCCCCTTAGTCTTTCACAAAGGTCCTCCTTCACACACCTCAAATTTCTCCAAGGTGGTAACAGAATTCCAGTCCTATCCTTGCCAGTATTTTCCCCCAGGCCTCACTCCCCACTTAGGGGAAGCTAATCTACACACATTGGATGTTACAAGAGCATTACCCTGCTGTTTGATTAGGTCTGAGGAGTACAGGAAATTGCTTAGACTGTCTCTTATGGGGAAGAGAGTGAAATTCAGGCAGTTACATCCCAATGCCGTTCTAAGTAGGTTAGACTCTACTGACGAGTGTTATAAACATGCCAGTGCTCCTCTTCCAGAAGTGCGTAGAGTGCACCCAACTAGAGTGAAGGCTGCTTCCGTATTAGTGATCTGTAGAGGTCCCTCTTGAAGCTCAGTTCAGACCATCACCACACACTGTGCCTTAGATCTGACATCTAGATCAGATCCTCAATTTGGTAAAGAAGTATTAAAATCTCTGTTTAACTAGGCCTTCTCATCTCACTATTTGGAAGGGGGAGCACTGTTTGCCAAACTCCCAAGAGTGGGAGTGTGCGTAGGCCACTGGCAGAAGAAGTGAAGGTTACTCACCTGTAACCAGAGTTCTTTGAGATGGACTCTGCTCATTCATGCTCCCCATCCAGCTTCCCCTGTTCCTTGGAATCCTAGCTATAACTCTGGACCCAAGGAAGGTGGTAGAAGGAATTGAGGCAGATAGAGCACCAGGCCCACTCTTACAGTCTCACCCTCCAAATGTTAGGATCAGGAATCATGAGAGCATTCCAACTGGCACTGTTACTGAAAGGTCTAATCTGCATTATTGGCACATCTCAAGAGTGAATGTTCAGAGGTCACTCAAAGAACTCCAGTGACTAACCTACATTTAGAGGGGATTCTGTTTTTGCTGATCCTGGAATTAAATGCATTTGTTTTAACTCCCTTGCAGATGGCCGCACTTGGGGAAGCCCGTTTAAAGGAGATGGAGGCACTGCGTTCTCTGAGAGCAGCAAATGAAGGGAAGGTGCTATCTAATGAAGATGATGCAGAGATGAAAGTTTGCCTTTGCCAGAAAGAGCCAGCGGCACCACTGATACAATGTGAACTCTGCAGAGCGGTCTTTCATACCAGCTGTGTTTCAGTGCCCAGTATTTTTCAAGGACCTTATGTTTGGCTCTGTCCTCACTGCCATAGATCAGAAAAGCCACCTTTAGAAAAAATCCTCCCTTTACTGGCTTCCCTGCAGCGTATCCGTGTGAGGCTTCCTGAGGGAGATGCTTTACGGTATATGATAGAGAGAACTGTGAACTGGCAGCACAGAGCACAACAAATGTTATATTCAGGGAATCTAAAACTTATACAAGACAAAATTGGCTCAGGATTATTGTACAATAGATGGCAAGCCACAGCATACCAGTTGCCAGAGACAAACAAGGTGAGATTGAATTTACTTCTAGGAGTGGCTAGGAGTGATCTGAGTTCAGCAAGAGCAGTTTGCCAAATTTCTTTGCATTTTGTAGATTCTACTTGAAACAGAGTAATTATATATTCATGCAGTGTCTTCAAAGAGGTATTACCATGGCAGATTATTATTGTATTGCTGGCTAATTCTCAAGTGTTGATCCCTCTACAACTTTGAGGAAATGGGAGTTTTCCTTGTTAGTTGGGGAGTATGTGTGTATTATCCACCATGTTGTCCAGCAACTTGGAATGCTGCATTCCTCCCCTGCTGGAACTGAGAATGCTGCGTCCTTCTCAATGACTATCCTTTTGGATTAAGTCTCTGTTGAAGATTTAGTATCCCTACCTATCCTGTTAAAGCACCATTTTGTGTGTGTGTGTGTGTGTATGCATGCATGCATGCATGTGGAATGGGGGAGGGGGTGTAGCTGAGGGGGTGTAGAAGATGTATATGTTAAGATGAGTAGGGCCTTTAACAACACATGGTGGGGTGACAGGGTGTACGATGGGTTTCATTTTCCTGAAGGAGGGGGACATAGTTTTCAGAAGTGCAGAATTGCTGTTATTTGGGTGTTAACAATCACAGTAAACATGTTATGGGACCTCTAGAGGTAAGAGTTCCTTCAGCAAAACCAGACTTGATTTTTCTAATTTTTCTAAGGCAAAAAACAAACCCCAAAATGCTTTAAAAGAAAAGTTTCAGGTCTTTGTGCATCAAAAAACAAACCACAAAACCTCCTTTACAGGTCACTTTTAAGGTGTCTATAACTTGAAGTCAATCTCTCGACTTACTGAAACGTCTTACTCCTGTTAGCCCAACCTTGTTCGATATCAAATTTGTCTATTTGGTCACTTTTGACCTGCCTAATTATGTTTTAAGAAATATTCCAGCTGTTTTTGGTAGTCATGTAAATCAGATACTTTTGCCACACTTGGTAACTATATAGACTAAAATTTTAAAATGGAGTCCATAAAATTAAGCACCCAAGTCCTCATTCAGGTGCCTAAATAAAATTGTCCTACTTGTTACGATTGCTGAGCAACCACAGTTCCCATTGAAGATAACCAGATAACTTACATATTTAAATACATGACTTTAACCACGCAAGTTTGAATATTTTGGCTAATGACTTTAGTGAAGAATGTGGAAGTTTTAATTTAGTTTGAAAAATTTGCTTAAGAAATAGTCATGAACAATTGGTTTAGGGCCAGATTTTCAAAGGTGTTGAGATGCCTACAGATGCAGTTAGGCATCAAGTGGGGTTTTTAAAAGTGCCTAAATAGATTAGGTGGTCTGAAATGGGCCATCTTGATTATCACTACAAAAGTTTTTTTCTCCTGCTGATAATTGCTTATCTTAATTAGCCTCTTAGAGTTGGTAGGGCAACTCCCACCTTTTCATGTTCTCTGTATGTGTATATATATCTCCTTACTATATGTTCCATTCTATGCATCCAATGAAGTGGGCTGTAGCCCATGAAAGCTTATGCTCAAATAAATTTGTTAGCCTCTAAGGTGCCACAAGTACTCCTGGTTTTTTTGCGGATACAGACTAACACGGCTGCTACTCTGAAACCCATGTAATTCCCAATGGTTTCCATTGAGATAGGCACCTAATCTGCTTGGGCACTTTTGAAAACCCCATTTGGTGCCTAGCTGCATCTTTAGGCACCTCAGTACCTTTGAAAATCTGGCACTTACTCTGTTCATAGACTCAAAGGCCATTAGTTTCCACACTGTTATCCCTGTATTGAGTCCACTAAAGCGTATCTTCCAGAAAGGCATCCCACCTGGATTTGAAGACATCAAGATGTGAATAGAACCTAGGTCTACTGAGTCCCAAGCCAATGCCCTAGCCACTGTACCACACTGTGTCCTCCTATAAAAGAATATTTGTTTACACTGGGGTGTCAGACTTGTTTGGAGGAGAAGGTTGAATTCTAGATTTAATTGAAATGTGTGGTCTATCCTCAGTTCATAGCAGAAATCCCACTGAGGTCAATGAAAGGTTTGCACAAAGTTCAGGAGAGAAGACGGCCTTTGTTTAGTAGCTATGAGTTCTTCTTCGAGAGATGTCCCTGTGGGTGCTCCACTCCAGGTGTTGGTGCGTCCCTGCGCCTTTGCTCGGAGATTTTTGTAGCAGTACTCGTACCGGCCACGCATGCATAGAGCCTGCCCCCCCCGCTCTGGGTCTAGCTTCATAGTGCGCGTGCGTGGCCGGTCTCCTCAGTTCCTTCTCTACTGTCCCCGGCCTGACACGGAGCTCAGCAGACTCGTTAGGAAATTCTTTCCTCTTGTTACAATTACCCTCCTAGTTAGTTAGTTTGTTGTTAGTTCGTTGTTAGTTACCATTTCTATCTCTTTTAAAAAAAAAAAAAAAAAAAAATTCCTGTCAGCCGCAGCCGCTTCGGACATGCCTGGCTCCACAGGCTTTAAGTGCTGTTCTAACTGCAAGGAGGCTATCCCCCTGTCAGATGGCCACTCACAGTGTATAAAATGTTTGGGGGAGACCCACATTCCCCAAAGATGTGCCCACTGCAGCAAACTTAGCTCCAGGGCACGGAAGGACAGGGAGCTTAGACTGAAACTGCTCCTCCTCCAGAAATCCCTAGGCACAGCTTCAGACCCAGGCGCTGATTCCAGCTCCGCTGCCCACCACAGCCCCCCCGCCTCAAAGAAGCACAAGAAATCTTCAAAAAAAGGGCACCTTTTGTCAGCTTCAAAGGAAACCCTGTGACACAGGATTTCCCCGGGCAGATCTATCGCTTCCCTGCCTGTGCTCCCCCGCTTGAGTACATTTGACGAGCCGGGCTCCTCCGGCACCGCGCGAAACCCACCTGAGGCTGCGGCGCGAGGCTCCGGTGCCGAGGCTTCAGGCCTCCAGCTGCCTGCCTCTCTTCTGGCACCGTTCGGCACCGCGGTGGATGCAGTGCCGACATCCCACAACCTGCCTGACCCCCTGTAGGCTGAGATTGCTCTCCCGGCACCGGCCACGGCACCAACACCCGCTGGGCTGACCGGCAGTGAGCCCAGACTCAAAACACCGGTGCAGAGGAATGTTTCCTCACTGCAGCTTCCTCCTATCCAGCCTTCACCTCACACAGGAGCCTCAGCACTTCAATTTACTCATGCAAGAGATCTGTTTGTGTCATCTATCCTGCAGTCACCCCTGCTGAATGCCTGCTTCTCTCCAATGGCTGAGTCAGGGTCTGAACAGCCTTCCTCCAGTGAGGAGGAAGCTGGACCACAGGGGGATTTTTCACTGTATCAAGACTCCCATCCCCAGACCCCAGTCAACAGAGGTCATAGAAAAATTACCTCATCCTATTCTCAGGATCCTGCCCCCTGGGGGGTGAACCCCTGGATGACACCACCTATGCCCTACCCACCACCATGGCAATATTGGGCACCATGGGCATCGTACCCTCGAGAACACACGCGCTACTCCACCTCAACCAGGCACAACACCGGTCTAGCACCACCACCTGACGAACCTGCCAATGACACAAGACACCAGGCAGCATCGTCACACTTGCAGGGTCAACCAAGTCCTGCTCCTATTCCAGTAGAGCCGGAGGTAATGCCTGAAGAAGCCTTACTTCCCCCTCCTCCAACACCCTCGGAGGACTACGCAAAATTCCAAGACCTTTTTAAAAGAGTTGCCAGTGACTTGAGAATTAACTTGGAGGAAGTCCCTGAACAACAGCATGAGTTAACGGACATCCTACAGCCCTCTTCTTCCTCTAGGTTTGCATTACCAATCAACGTAGCTCTTTTAGAACCTGCTAAGTCCATCTGGCAGACTCCAGCTACAAGCCTACCTACCTGTAAACAAGTGGACCGCAAGTACTTCATTCCTTCTAAGGGCTCTGAATTCCTTTTTACCCATCCAGCACCAAACTCGTTGGTAGTAGACGCAGCGAACCAAAGGACCAAACAACAGTATTCCCGCTCCACCCCGGCCAACAAGGAAAGTAAACGCTTGGACCTCTTCGGTCGCAAAGTATATGCATCCTCAACGCTACAATTTCGTATTGCTAATTATACTGCAGTTCTTGCAAAATATGACCACAGAAACTATAATAAATTCATGGACTTTATTGATGACATTCCATAACAGAAGAAACAACAATTCACAGCTCTGGTTTCCGAGGGACAAATCATATTACGTACCACTCTTCAAGCGGCCCTCGATATAGCCAATACTGCAGCAAAATCGACTGCCACAGCAGTGGTCATGCGCTGAGGTTCATGGCTCTCCTCCTCTTTCTTTCCTCGAGAGGTCCAGAGTACCATTGAAGACCTTCCCTTTGACGGTGACAAACTCTTTGCCTCCACCACAAACAACGTGCTTCATTCAATGAAGGACTCCAGGGCAACCCTCCGGTCCTTAGGTCTCCAGACATCTACGACCAGAAGGCGACAATATAGGTATCAACCTTACCAATGTCCACGCTACCCCGCATATACACAACACTTCCATAGATCACAGGAGCAGCAACAACAGCAACGCCAGAGACCGAGATTCCAGGGTCGTCGTCCCAATTCTGTCCGGGCACCTCAACCCCCTCCAATTAATAAGCAAATTTGAAGCTTTGATCGAGGGTTTAGAAAACAGCGTTCCCACTTCAGCCAGTACACCTATTTTTGGACACCGCCTACGACCATTCTCCCATCAATGGCAGAACATTACCACCGACAAGTGGGTTATAGAGGTCGTTACAATTGGCTACTCCATCCCCTTCCTGTCCTTGCCTCCCACCCACCCACCCTCCCCGTCCCTCTTCAGGGACCCTTCTCACGAGCAACTACTCCTCCAAGAAGTGCAACATCTCCTCCAAATGGGAGCAATCGAAATTGTGCCCGAATGACACAAAGGGAAGGGTTTCTACTCCCATTATTTCTTAACAGAAAAGAAAACTGGGGGATGGCGACCAATCCTTGACCTCAGACGGCTCAACAAATTTGTCAAAA